GAGGGGAGGTATGTAAGGTATTTCTGATAACTTTTTACTTAAATTATCACAAAGCTTCTGCGGCTAAGTTTCAGATATTTTCAAAACAAAGTTATAATTTAAAACTAAACACCTGGTCAGTCAGCACTATTGCTGTAGTGTTAAATCTTTAACTAACAGTAGAGTTGCTCTCTAACTTGGGACTTCAACAAACTTGTGTTCAGCGAGACAGCAGTGACGCTGCAAACGCTCCAATAGATCTTACCAATTTAAAATCTTACTTTTAAAGTATGCCGCATGCTTTTAAATTTGCATAATTTTCTGTTCTGACAGAAAAAAAAAATGTAATGTGAGCCAAGAATGATATTATAGGGAGAGTTTAACCTCAAAATCTAATTATCTGTAAAACCTGAGAATAATTATCACAACCTTAAATTACCGCGAATTTTGAATAAAATTCATTTAGCTTTATTTAAATTATGCACCAATCTTAAGTGGTTTTTTTTTAGTACTTTAACAAGCTTCAGTTTTTATAGTTTTTTTTTCCCAATTGATTATTCATTTAGTGACTATCAGTTTGATAGTCGTTGATATGGATATTTCCTTATATAAAATCAAAAATTATTTCAAGAAGAGAAGGCTTCTTTATTACACATAACTTCAAATAATATGCAAAGCACGTCAGTGCAATTACGAACGTCAGTGGAATTCGAATTTGCAAATGGAAAGAGGATCGTAGCGTTAAATAGAATTGTAATGTCGAAAGAAACGCTTTTGCACCAAAATTAACGGTCACTCTTAAGTGAATCAACTTTCAAACTATTTCTCACCTTAAAACTTCTTAATGTGAGGAGTATACTAACAGAAGCTCATGATTCCGAACAGTTTGCTTCCTACACTAAAATATGGTGAGGGCTGAGTGGTTGCTACTTTGGGTTATTATATCACATTTTGCAGCATGTTCAGTTATCACCTTATAGGAAGGAATAAATAGAGTTTATTATGCATCTCGAAGCAGAAAATACGAAAGATCAGCAATACCTTCGGTGGGATTCGACTTCCGGATGATCTTCCGGCAGCTAACTAAACGTGTCACCGCTTACACAAGAACAAGCCAGGAAGAAGGTAAGGGGATACCAAAACTTTACCAGTGGTTTTATATATATAGTTCCATCTCGCAAACTGTACAGCTCCGTCTCAATTTAGATGAAGAACCCCCCCCCCCAGAGACGAATCGAAAGGTCTTTCACTCCTCTTTCTCTACAACCGAAACACTCGAGAAGACTTTCAACTAGACAGTATTTCAAGGGCCCCAATGCTGCAAAGAAACTATACACTTAGAAACATACAGATTTCTTCGACTTTTCAGCCCGAGCTTGTGATGTGATAGGTAAAGTCGCTAACCGTTATACTGATCCTGCCGGATAACCCTGATAGTACGATGGCGTACAGTGGAACAAGAAGAAACTTCTTTATAAATATTGGACTACAAGCGACTATGTTTCAAGCGACCGTGTCCATTCAATAGGCAAACGTTGTTTCCTACGGATGCTGACACTGTTTCCTACAAGGAAGACGTAATGGAAAGACACTTTCCTACGGGAAAACTACACTGTTTCTTAATTGCTTGTTTCAAGATAATAATATCGATATTCACCGAAGTCATTATTCAGTCGTAGCTTGAGGAACACGAAGTTACATATTTTCGCTCGCCCGCAAATTCCCCAAATTTAAATATCACTAAGTAGCTGTGGTCCTTGCTGAAAATGCATTAAAAACTCGTTTTTCTTTCTCAGAATCTGCAAAAAATTGGCGCAATTTCTGATAGAGGAATGGTATAACTATTAACACCATTTAGGGCTCGTATAACTGCATTCCAAAACGATTTTCATTCCAAAAATATGCTCTCCTGTTAATTCCTCATAATTTGAGTTGTATTCTTTATTTATGGTTACCTCCGTACATAGCTTAGCTAAAAAATAAGCACATTTCATACCTGCACTAAACAATATATTTTTTGGTATAACCTGACCCGTACCTAAAACATTAGAACTAAATTCAAAGAAAGATTTTTTAATTCAAAGAAAGATTCATTTAATTTTCTTTTATAAGCAAATTTAATGTAATAAAATGCAAGGGATTTACATTTTTGCCTTTTTTGCTTAAGATAAACACACTGTGTTTTCTTCATGAATTATCGCTTGTTTCCCAAGATTGATGAAGGGCACATTATAATCCAACGATTATTTTTTTTGAAAGATATAGTAATGTTTGGTTCTTATCGGAAGAGAAAAATAAAGACTCATCTTGCTTGCTAAGAATAGATAACATTTTAAACTCTAGGTAAAAATTAGAATTCAAATATTTACTGGTATATATTTTTGAAACTCAATATTCGCCCTACTAATTCAATAATTTTTGACGGAAAGTGAAATCAATCCAAAAACTTCAGACTACTGTTATAAGAATTCAAAGAAAAATTTGATTTAATTATAAAATAGTTTGAAGTATCAGGAATTAAATAGCAACAAAAATTTAACCACAGTTTGAAAATTTTAGATTGTAGTATATCATCTTGAAAGATTTATCCTTAAATCTCCTAAAAGATAGTAAAATATTTGTAGAGAAATTAGGTATTTTGAAGCAGAAAACACGAAAAATGAGCAATGCTCTATCCGGGACTCGAACCTGGATCTCTCGAATACGCTGAGTGTTCTAACCGTTAACAAAATTTGATGTCTCTAGGTATCGTTGGTTTTAACAAAACGAGAAACATATATACATTAGCTCAGATTCTTCATTATTTAGTTTCTTTAAATATAATACATTGAGATAATATTTGGTGGCACCAATTTGAAAAGTGATACAACGCTTTTAGTGATTTGACCGAAATTGCAGTTTCGACATAAAAAGCCCTTCTGGAGTAACCCCCCTTTGGATTAATAAGTATAAAAAGTATTGGAGAAATAATGAATATTCATGTTCGAGGGCCTTTTTTTTTTCAAGAGCAGGATTTATGGACCTTCAGATTGACATTCGAAGTTTGGTCGAAAATTCCTTTTTATACTCGAAGTAATGTTGTATTAACTATAATTAAATGAGGAATAAAGTATCGGGTTTTAACGAAAGTTTCTCGATACTGCAAATATCATCTGCGCAACAGTTCGCTTTGGTGTGTTTAATCATATTTGTGAAACGATTTTTATCATTTAATAGAAAGACACTTGCATCAGAACATTTTGTTGTGAAATTTGAACAAACTTATCGTTATATTAAGTACAAAGTGTCTGAAATGGAAATGGCACGCTACTGGATTAGAATCATCATTTACTTCCAGTTCTGCAAAGAAATTAGCTACAGAATGTCACCTAATCATGTGTACGGCTTTATGACTACTTACTACCCGCGTTAAAGGTACTGCTTAATAAAGTTAGAAAAAAAGCAATTTACTTAATAAAGCAATTTACTTAATTACTTAATAAAGTTAGAAAAAAAGCATGAACTTTTTTTCTAACTTTATTAAGAACGCTTTTTCTATGAAAGCTTTCGTTACAACCAGATACATTTATTTACCAATAAATTATTCATAATTGCAATAGTAATAGTAATGATTTTTCTATTTATACATATTTGCAAAACTACTAAATAAAACTATTTTTCACTCTGCAGCGCAAAAATATTATCATTTTGTAATAATATTTATTGTTTTATCCGATAATCCGGCATAGCTTATGTCCTGAACGTCGCAAGTTCGACTTTTGCTGTACCTCAGTCTACCATCATTTGTAATGAACCCAGAGCATCCCTATGCACAGGCGAGGACTTTACTGTTGTACTACGGAAATCGGCGAGAAAGCTTGCCTCTAATTTTCTCCTTCAAAGGATGATTTGAATCTGAGAATATTCAAGTTAAATCTGAAATGAAATCTGACCGGAATTACACTAATATGGCCTTAATTAGCAGAAAGAAAGTACTTTTATTATTTATTACTATTTTATTAGCCCAAAGGGACATTAGCTTAGAAGGGCTATTTGTCTCGAAACGGCATTTTGCATCGAATCACCAAAAACGGCTTTATCACTTTCAAATTGTTGCCACCAAATATTAGAGCCCTTTATTATATTTAAAGAAATTAATGAATAAATAATTTGTGTGAATGTATGTATATATATCTCGCATTGTGAGAAAAACTATGATAACCTAGAGCCATCAAATTTTGAATAACTGAATATGGGCACCTGAAAGCTGGAATTTGGAATTTGTTCCTGTCTATTTCATGCTTTAATGAACTTTTGATTAACAAACTCAACAATTTGAAGACGAGCAATAGCAACACTGTAAAGAATAAAGCATTTTTATGTCCAGCACACGAAACTGTCGATCCGAAATTCTAAAGATATGCTGTTTTTATATATTTTTAGCCCTAAGGGAAGTTAGCCCAAATGCTCTCGAAACGTAAATATATGTGCAAATGAAATAAACGCTCCTTTGGTCGTATTACAAAATTTGAAAGATTTCGGACTTTTTTTTTTTTTTTTTAATTTTGTGAAAAAAGAAGGGAAAAATAGAATTTATCAGCGAAACATCTTATGTAATGTGTCATCCTTTTAGAAAAGCTAAAGATAAAATGTACTTTCAATAGCCTAACATAACAAGAATCTTCTAAATTTAAATTGCACGTGATCTCTGGTCACGCATAACTACCCACATGTAAGCATCATAGTGAACAAATATACGAAAAACATAATGCCCAGGTTTTTTCCTCTTCATAAAGAAAAGGAGTTTCTGCGTCGTTCGCATTAAGCTCTATTTGTGTCTCAGCCATGATGTCTATTTTTAATATCTTTTCTTACTCTAAGATACCTTTCAATATCATCTGTTTCGTATATCTATTAACGTTCCCTCCTATTGTTAGTTTCCAAATGTCACTTTTCTGTTTGGTCATGTGACTATACGCATGCGCTTTGGCGACTAAGAAAGTTATATATAAGGTTTGTTCACCTTCTTTCATTCTACAGTTGATCCTTAAATCTCAGCTGTTTGTGCTGCCAGGTGATTAAGCCGTGCGAATTTGCAAACGAATTCGTTTTGCATTTGCTACGGTGACGTAACCTTGTATTAAAATTGCAGTTACAGTTAGCACCAATGCTGTTCACGGAAGCTAGCGGACTTCTTAACTTTCGCAGACAGCTCACAGCACTTTTGTGGAATTCTTTAGTGGCCAAACGGAAGGTACGTTTATTTTCTTCATTAGTTAATTAATTTCTTATTCCATAAACTTATTGTATTATCCATAAATTGCTTCATTTATTCTTGTATAAACCAAATTAAGGTAAATGGTAATAAAAATTAAGATAAAATAAATTAAGGTACGTGGTTAACAGAAAATTAATCTATTCCATTTAATAATCTGTATTAGACTGAATTATAAGGCATTTGTTACAATTTTATTTTGTAGAATTAGAAAGTTTAAATAAGATTTCTTGAAACATCGTTGTAAATTTCCTCTAACTAAAGTACTAAAATATTCTGCACATAAACTGTAGTCAATCAAAAGTTGTGCAGTAAAAATTATTTTGAAATTTTAATGGATCTTGTAAATTTATATTTAGAAGAATTAAATTTTTTCTTTAATTTTATAGCTTTAATTCTTTTACTTTATTCTCATTTATATGGCGCTTAGCTAGCGAGGTATTTTTAATCCAATTTTTGACAATAATTATAATGTAGCTTTGTATAACGTAAACAAGCAGCTTTTATTTTATCAATTTTTCTTAAATATTTCATAAATGAGTAAATATTTGTTATCTTAGAGAAAATAGTAGAATTTTAAAAAAAATTGAGCTTGAAGTCGGTTTACTTAATCCATGAAAATTATTTTAAGTCCCCTTAAAATTATTTCAAAATTTCTAATTACATATAATTAGTTCAGATATACATTTAGTAGTAAGCTATTTTAACGTCGTATTGAAAACAGTTTGCTTTATCGAAATGTGGAAATATCTTCTCTTAGAATATATCAGAAATATGTCTCTAAAAGATAAATTGATCAGCAGATGGTTTATGGCGTATTGATTTATTATCTACACTTCGGTAGAACAGCTGTTTTGTCCGAAAGCGTTCATATGCATTTCGATGCTACGTGTTAATTCCTTTCTTCTTGTTTTCATCTTTATGTCTTCCTCTCGAAACTTTGAGGGGCTGCAAGATGAAATTCAATAGAATTTCGAATACCCAAAGTTACTCCAGATATGTTTAATATAAGCCTAATCGTATTTAATAGTATCCGATTTGCGAACGGTTCTACGTAATCCAGGTGCTTAAGAGTTCTACGTTCGAGATTATATAATTAAAATTAAATGACATATGTTAAATTAAATGATTTTTAAAATGTACTTATTTTAATAATTTAAAACGGTCTTATTTTAACATATTTTACTTATATGAGAAATAATTGTTTCGATATCATTTTCTTTAAAACAATTTTATATTTTTTTAATCTCTTTCTTAATTTAACAAATACATACCTTAAGGAATACTCTCTTTTGTAACATAGCAAAACGTTTTATATTTTGTAGAATTTCTTGTAAACATAATTGATATTTTCTAGAATCTTTTTGTAACATAGTAAAACCTCCATAAATTTCTCTTTTATAATAAATCAAAATGTTACTTGTTTTCGAGAAACTTTTTATAGGAAACATTAAATATTTCTAGAATTTTCTGCTTTAATGTAGGAAAAATTTAATATTACTTAGTATTTTTCGAGATCTTCTTTCTGTAATAAAACAGAAAGTTGAATATTTTGCAAAAACTTATTTTTAGATTACAGTGAACACTTATGAATATTTTCATAGTTTTCTTCTCATAAAGAGAAAAGCTAGAATTTTTTGTCTAATGTAAAAAAACATTATACAGGTTTGAGAATATCGTTTCATAGTACAGCTTAAGATTGCATTTAAAAGTTCGGCAGAGACGTTAAGCATATCCATATTTTTCCTAAAATATGATATTGGTCCGAGAAACTTATCAACCCCATGAAAATTCATGCTATGTATTTCGTCTCTAGACATTACTAAATACATAAACACGAAAGAAAATTATGCTATTTTTAAATTTACGCGTACTACTAACGTACGCAAATCTGCTCAACTACGCATGAGCTTCGCTTCATATTTATGTGGAGGAAAACGGCTTAGGAATTTGCGCATAATTCTTTTGATTTTCTAACCAAAAAATATATTTAAAATTGTACTGATATTGAAATAGTTTTCAGAAAATTATTATATCTGCCTTATGTTTTCTGGATGTGAGATGATAATATTAAGTAATGTATACTGAATTGTTTATCGATTATTATTTGATAATAGAGGATAATAGCATATAGAAGTAAAAGTTGATGTTATGTAAAATTTTTATTTTGTTCATAAAATAATTCCATGCATTCTTTTCGGAATGAAACATAAGTGCATGTAAAAATTAATAATTGAGTAAGTTTGCTTGTAAAACTATATTAGAATAATAAAAAAGAACGAAAATAAAATTTTAAAGTCTCTTAATCGAAACCTACTATTTGGGACCCTTCATATAATGCGCAGTTTTGTATTTTTGACTTGATTGATTTTATTTCACATAACAGTACTTTTTCATCAAATATAACAGTATTTTAGTGGTCAAAGAACTAAAATAAAAAGTAACTGTATATTCTTTCAAATATAAGGAAATAATTTATAATTAGAAACATTTTTAATTGAAATCCAAAAAAATATCCAAGATGCTTGAAGATGTGAAATGTACATGAAGTTACAATTTTTGTTTAACTATTTCAAAATCTTTAACATACTAACACATGATGTGAAAAATGTAATAACTATTTGAAATCATGTCACAAATGTGTGAAGAATTCAAAGGACATCTTCACCTATTTTGTTTTACTTTTTATACTGCCATTCAAGTTAAACCTGTTTTCAAGAGAATAATATGATCTGTCCGATCAATTTTGTTTTAAAATGTAGTCATAACTTTAGTGATCTGCGCATTAGATAAAAATGTCTAATGCTTCTTCAAATCTGAGAAGATAATTAATCTTTGGAGAAACATATTTTTGAATTTCGTTGGCAGGATTGAAAACTTTCGTCAGAACTAATACAACATTTCCTTCAAAACCTGCAGAAACTATTTTCCTACCAAATTATACGCATAATACCTTGCATTCATAAAACACATATGTATTCAAAAACCATCACGGTTTGTAACTGATCTTCCATAAAAAGTTTATAATATAATTACAGTACCTTATAGTTTAGTCAATTAGAAGCTACATGAGAAAAGAATGGCTAAGCAAAGCATGTTTCCCTTTACTGCTAATAATTATTCTCTTACATAAATTTGAATTTGAGGATATCATATAATATTCAATAAATGGATTCATATAGAACTAATATAAGATTTTCCATCCTGTCACCGAGAACGTATAGGCAGAAGTAATTCAAAACGTCTGGCAAATTATTTTACTCCATATTGTATATGTATTACTATTGTCCTCAGCATCGAACATGTCCCGTTGAATTGCATATTTCTGATAATAACTGTGAAAGATTTGAGAAGTATTACCAATGAGATTAGAAATGTTGATAGCGCTAATTTTTAAGGGGAGTTATCAGAAATACACTACTCTCTGTCAGTATATGCTTGCAGAAAGACAGATGTTACTTCCAGTATAATGTACGATACCAATTAGGATACCTTCCAATATTTATTTATTCGCAAAAATAACGAATTCAAATTTTCCATTCCCGATCTGCAGGAAAACATTTTGTAAGTCTTTTATGTTCTATAGTAGCCTTTCCATATTTGAACGCATCTGCAAAATTAAATACAGATTGCGCTTTATTTTATAAGAAGTAAAATTTTTGCGATGAATAATTTTATAAAATAAATCATTCTTTGCGTCACCCTTAAATTAATTATTGAAAGTTTCAATTTTCATGGATTAAGCCTTTTTGTCATGTAAGCATGTAATCTATTCAAAACATTTTTGGATTAAGTCATGGAATCTTTTCAAAGCTTTTATCATTCTGAATAACAGGAAAGTGTTTTTAAGAGAACCAGTTTTAAGGGAACTGAGAAATTTTTCTAAATTATAAAACGAGAAAATATATTGTAACTAGAAAAGTTCTAACGTTAAAAGTTTAGTGATTTAAATTCAGAAACTGATGAAATAAATTTAAGAAAAATAATAGTCTAAATAATTATCATAGCCCCATCATTCAGTCATAGTTTAAAACAAAAAAGAGAGAAATATAGAAATAATGCTTTGAGGATAGGTAGTATATTAAAGACTGCTTATAACTATCATTAAACAATTTACTCTGAGTGCCTATATACCGGTCCATAAAAATTATATTTCGCATTTTTTTACTGCCCGGCCTTTTGTTGTTGTCGTAAACATGTACTTCCAACTGCAAGCATATTCGTAATGACACAAATATAGTTCGGCCATTTTTTTTCATACAAAAGGCAGAAGTCTTTTTTTCTTTTAACTTTTTAAAACGAGTATGGAAGTTTCATAAATAGAGATTTCCATCTATAGAGATCGGGAGAGCGTAAAAAAGTAAGATTCCATATTTTGAATAAAATTGACTTTGTTAAATTTAAAAATGCTCAAACTTGAATATTTGCATCATTTGAAACATGTTTGCAATTCGAAGAATATATTTAAGTCCAACAGTTGCGAAAACAAAGGCTGGGTAAAGAATTTTGTAGACACGATTGTACTTTTATTATGCGTTCGTAAATTTCACAGAGCCACCTATATTTTTATCTATAATTATCAAAATGCATTTGTTATAAGCCACTATAACTTTATAAATCTAAAGAATTTTGGGTTACTAAAATGCGATACAAAGAATCAAAATTGACAGCATTTCTGTCTGGTCTATTTGATCTCTTTTACAGGCTACGTGCCCCTGTTTGGTTTGAGTTTGTTTCATGTCCACCTACATATTCACTCATTTACCATCCATAGTTCCTTGGGCCACTTGTAGTTTATCATGTAAGTAACATTGTTTCTAATTTACATTGCATAACTATAAAGTCGTAAAAGCAATGTCTGAAATAGCACTTAAATGTACTGCTGGAAAACATTTTCTTAAGAAAGTATATAAATTTTGCAACATGAGTTTGTTTTCTTCATTATTCATATATATGTACACAGATAGTGAACTTTTACAACTGAATAGAAATTTTGGATTTTTTGTAAGCTAAATTTAATATATTTATAAAATATTAAATATTTTAATGTATAAATTAAAGTATTAAATAAAAAATTAAACTAAGAAATATTAAATATTTAAAAAGATCTTTGTTGAAACTTTTGTTTGTTTTTGAAAATAATTACTGTTGTTTGAATTTGCATAAATATTATGCAGTTGCAAAATTAGTTTGCACGGTTTCTTTGCACTCTCAAAAATCCCATTATTCAGTGCTTCCCAGTTATCACTAGGGATTTAAGTATTTTTACAAGTCCTTAAAGTCTGAAAAAATATTTATTTGGCACCTGCAACTTAAATATGTTGTATTTCAAGTTCTTCACTATCCGTGTATTATATTGCTTATATTATGTTTAGTTATTAGCAATTAAAAGATCTAAATAATAAATATCTAATAAAGCTTTCAAGATTGTTTTTAAAGTAAAAGTTTTAAGGTTGGAAAATTTTTATGCCTGTATAAAACTTAAGTTTAGATCACAGCTGGGATAGTGCAAAATTAATAAACTAAAAGGAAAGTTTCTGAACCCAATGGTTTTTAATCGCTTTCGTATACATTTTAAGTTTATTCTTCCTGTTTCTCTGTGTATTCTTTACATGCATTCAGCTAAACAAATTTCTTAAAAGATAGTCTATGATTATCAGAGCTTCTAAATGAGTGATAATTATGGGAAATTTTTGTCAATTTTGATTTCAAAATCAGTTTCTTATGCTTTTAGCAACAGAACGAATGTAACGGATTATTAGTATATTTCCTAAAGTTGACGGTTTTATATGAACTTAAAATCTTTTATAAATGAAAATACGTCATTATTATTTAAACTTCTTGTGAATACAAAGACTGTACATAACGGAACTATTGGGAAATTATTATCAATATCCCCTGATAGCCATCTTTAATAATTTTATTTAAAATATGTATAAGAATTTAGAAACTTAGTAAAATCCCTTGTATTTGCTAATAATAGTATGTATTGAAATTCTGAAATATTTAATAACGATATATATCAGTATTAACGATTTGTAATTTTATGTGTTTACTATAAGTATTATGAGAAATCTGTAACTGTATATACTTTTCATTTTTTCGAATTATAAAAGAATATTTCATTTTTTTGTGTAGTCCATACAGCAATATGTTTCTCTGCAAATGCTGATCAAATGTCTTTTTCTTTTACTTTCTCTTAGAGCACCATATAAAGGCTGTAATCAAGTTCCAGTGGTCAATAGCATTTACTTCCAACACACCACTTAAACCTAATCAGCAGTCTTAGAAATAGTTCACCATAACCGTGTCCTTAGTTTGAAATATCATTATGCCCAGTTCACACACACCTTCGCTGAACAGCATTAATGAAAATTCATGTTACGATATTAAAGGCCATTATCGACTTGTTCTTATGGGAGCTGCTTGTGTCGGGAAGACGGCAATTGTACACCAATTCCTGTACGAACACTTCCCGAGCGAATACTTGCCAACTGTTGAGGAACTGTACCGTGGAGAGTACGATGTCGGAAACACCGGTCTGATCCTCGACATTCTGGATACAAGTGGTACTTACGAATTCCCTGCTATGCGCAAATTGGCGGTCGATACTGGAGATGCCTTTATTCTAGTTTATGCTATCAATGATGATGAATCCTTCGAAGAAGTAAGAAGATTGAGGCAATTGCTGATGGATAGTAAACAATCTAATGTCCCAATTGTCGTTGTTGGCAACAAATGCGATCTTGAGAAGCAAAGAGTAATCCAAAAAGAAGTTGCTGATACCATCGTCGCCATTGATTGGGAAAATCGATTCGTAGAAGCATCTGCAAAGGAGAATATCAACATTGTGAGAATCTTCAAAGAGCTGCTGGTACAAGCTAATTTCCCTTACGATCTGAATCCAGCTGTACAGAAACGTCGTACTTCGTTGCCACTCTACGCCCTGCCGAAGACCAACAATAATGTCACAAAGAATAAGAAGATCAAGAGAAATAGCTGCGCCGTTTCATAACACGCTCAATCAATCATCAACCACTGTTAAGGGCGTCAATCAATCGTCAAACGAGATGAATATTGCGTGACATTAAGTTTGGGAAGCAAGGAAGTACAAAAGGTCCCTTAACTCATTTCTTCAGGTTACATTTTTCTTGAATTTTCTTTGACTGCATTAATTGTACAGCATTAAAACAAATTTTAAATGCTTTTAAAATGCTCTCCTTTTACGGATATTCTTTTGTATAGTATATCAAAACGTTGAAAAACTATATTTATTATTTAATGAAAGATTTATAAATTTTTAATGAACTCTTACTTTATTTTAATAATGATCTCTTGCTGAAAATTTTGCAGAATTTTTTTTAATGAGTATTTTTTAAAATGCCTTCTAACAGCGAAAAGAAAATTGCTTTCAATCATTAATGTAAATTACATATTAGTAAGTATTCATAAAATCTGCTTTGAAAGTAGCAGCTATTATTTAAGTAAAAGAATTAAATAACTGTCAATTTTAAAATAACTCAATCAAAGAAGATATTCATTTAATATTTACTGTTACTTACTTAAATAAACTTCTAAAAGTTCTATTAACTAAAAACGGAATTCTCATATCATTTTTAAAATAAATTAATCAATATTTCGAATAAGGAATAGAAACTTCTTAAAGGTAAATTGGATGGTCTTCATTTTTAGACTTTTTACAAAAATCATTTTTAGACTTTTTAGCAAATATTTTAAAATATTTCCTTTTTTTTTAAAAGTTTTTTCATGTACTTTAGCTTCAAATTTTATTTTAATTGTTCCTAAAAAATTTTTTCTTTCATTTTTGAAGAAAATACCTGTTTTTATACACTAGGATAGCTTCTATTATAGATAGATATTACCTCAGAAAGTATTTTTGTAAACCTTTCTAGAATGTTTGCAATTAATCCTTATGCTCTCTTTGAAACGTAATGGAAATTTATCAGAACTCTGTCTATCTTATTTGCGTTCCAAGTTCAGGTTCCCCCCTCTTTCTTTCCCTCTCATTTTTTCTCCTTTTTTTAGAATGATGTCATTTAAGCAAAGGTCAAAGCATTTTAAAATATATTAAACAAAAAAACATTAGTTCCTATTTGTTTCATGCAATGCGATTTCATGAAGCAAAAATTATGTATAAAAGACATGGTAAAAAATACTTATGATTTTTGTGATAAAATTGTTTTATTAGATAAGCCATATATATCCTGAAAGCAATTTCTTTTCGCATTATTAACCATTTTTAGCAATATAATTGGTAGCTGCCACAGTTCGAACGTATTGCTATTAGTTTAAGTTATGTCTCCAAACTTATGCTTGGAAATCAAGAAATATTGTCTTTTAACATGAAAATGAAACACTAGTACATTAATTAGTACTATATATATGAAATATTTACTGATACTACCGGGGCTGAACAAAGGCACCGATCGCCACATGCTTTTCAAAGATACGTAACACATTATTACATAATTATCTTATATTATTAGAACACGAACCCCGTAAAAACATTTCGACTGACAAAAATGTTGAACAGCCTCGGATATTGCAGTGCATTTGAGAGTTAAGGGAAACCCTCACATTTAAAACTTTCAGAAGGTATACAGTCATTTATTTATCATGTATATGAGCTGATGAAAATTAAGAAAAGTATATTTTTTATTTTTAAAATTTATTTAAATGTTCGACATTTTTCTCTAAGACAAAATAATGTGAATGCTTTTTACTCAGATATTAATGATAATATATCTAGGATATCTTCATTGTCGTATTTTATACAACTGCCTTTTATGTGAAGCATGAGAAACCTAAACAGTTTTCGAATATGATGTTCTCGTGTGCATTCTGTCAATCAATTGTCCATTCTAAGATTGTTTCAGGACAGCACTGCCTTAAAGTTCTTCAAGGCATGCTTTGCCGTATTATGTATGGGCTAAGGCATTCAATGTATCTGAAAATATGTGCAAAAGTTAATTCACTGTCATGTAATTACCTAATGGAAGTCAATGAAATACTATGTTATAATGTAAAATGTTAAATATCGGAAATATATCTGCAGATGAAATTCATATAAATTTTTACTTGGATATATTTGTGATGTCTCTGCACTTTCTGCTATAAAATGTTATTTCGATGCTGGAAAGAAACTGAATTTTTATTTTGCTTTTAATTTCTCAACACAGTCGAAGTTTCTTTTTCGAAAAATGGCCAATTTTATAAATAGAATCTTCGACAAACTAGTTTCAATGCAATTTACTGTTTAGCTCAATGTGAAATGATCTTGGTACGTGTGATAATGTGACCCAAGTAATTTCTAGATGGTATTGTATTCAAAAAATTAAACAGTTCAGAATGAAATTGATTTTAGCATCGGTGTATCTTCTGAACAATCTTCTCTTAATATATTTGATAAATAAAATTGTTAAAAATATTTCTTTAATACAAGTGTTTTAAAAAGATGTAAGACTAAATGATGGTATTCTTTTAAGCCTATAGTTCCATTTTATGGAGAAAGCGAATAAAGAAGTTTAAAACTAATACATTTAATTCATTTCTTAAACTGAAGGTTTGGTAATGTGACGCGTTTAAAACCCGCCCTCATATATTATATTTTCATACGGGCCCTATAGAATGGAAATTCTATTCAACCATGTGTGATTATTTGTGCTAATGATCTTCTAGAAAGGAAAACTGATTCTGTAATATTCAAAAATTGCCGGAAAATTAATTCTCGATGATACGTGAGGCAATTTTGATTTAATTAATCATATGAGGAGGAGCAGTTTTCGGAATATTTTGGTTACTGAAAATATGTTTTAGTCTTATATTTTCCTTCCCTGAACCTCTTAATTTTAAGTTTCGTACATTTTACTAAAAGCTGTCTCTTTGAAAAAACCTGTCACAGTATTAAAGCCTATTTTAATGTGATTATGTCTTAATCTATGACCACAAGTATACTATCAATCCATCAAATGACGTTTAATCTAAAAATGTTTTTGAAATACTGTATCTTATCTCGGGAAGAATTCATAAAATTCATTTATTGAAAGATAAATACTTAATATTCTCAAACGAAAATGCTTTGAGTGAAATCATATTCCAAAGAAATGTTTCTGATAAAAACTCGGTTTCTTTTCAGTATTGCTCAACCTATTTTGAAAGTTAATGCATATGTATGTCAAGTTATGTGATAGCATTTGTGAAGCACAATGTGTAACCTTTCATATATCGCGTCATTGTCATTTAATGTCCTTGTGATCACTAATATACATACATATATAGTGCATATATATCAATATGTATTTGTCGAAATAAAAGTATATAAATGTATATTCTTATGTTTTTATTGCCTTGAAATTGCCTTTTTATTGCAATGAAATTAGAAAATAACATTTCAGTGATGCACAAAAATTGACACAAAAAGCAGATTTAAATTAAGAACAAGAGTACAAGGAAAAAGTTACAAAATTTCATATATATTGATTTTTCCGTGTCATGTGAAGGTAGATGTTCATGCCATTTCCTCCTGGCTAAACATAGTAAGCAGTCATCTTGGGCATTTTGCAGCCTTCATCATAGAGTTCTCGAGTGCATTTCTGTTAAAGCAAAATAAACATTAAAGTATTAACGTTTCAAACGCTATTTACTCCATTTAATCAGAAAGGATTATACTTCTGAAATTCAAAACAGGCAACAAGAGATAAAAATTTGATTTCAATTTTTCTAAACATGAAGTTGATGTAAAAAACGATTCAAAACAACATATTTAAAGATGGATTTCTTCAAAATGCGTTTATTCAAATATTTAGAAAGCGTTATTTGATTTATGTTTAAATGTATGATTTGAAAATCCAAGTGTTTTTAGGTCGTCAAAATTATCTTTTCAGTGAACTCTGAACGAATTAAATATCATCAATAAACAATATTTTCAGCTCCGAGTGTTTACGTATTTTTTACATCTGGTTAAATTAATATTCAAATTGCATTAGTTACAACCCTTTGATAATTTTAATGAACTTCTGAAGTTTAAAAATGGTTCAAAATACAGCGAATGATTTTTTAGCTTCCAAACTTCTCATCTAACTAAACATTTAAGAATTGTTGTCAAATACAGTAAACAGATGATTAAGGAAATAAAATCACAGTTTTCCGATTTGTTAGATTTTAAACAAGCTATAGAAGGATTATGACTCAAAAACCTCAAACAATTAATTAAAATCATATATATAGGAATAAAGTGAAAAGATTCAGTAATATTAGAAATTCTGTAATATTAGAAATTAATCTGTAATATTAGAAACCTTTTTTTATTAACAAAGATAGTGCGTTAAATTTCAATATTCATTTCATTGTCGCTTTATCATACATAAAAAATATCTTAAAGTATTTTTAAAAAAGGCTTTAAATTATTAAAAAGTGCTACAAACGTTTGTCCAGTTTTTCAGACTGTTAAGGCTTCTGGTAAAAGTAAGATGAAGATCTTATTTTTCGAACAGTGGCAATATTTGAGAATTATGATGATAAATAAATATGCATAATGTTATAAAAGCAGTGAGCAAAACGTTTTGAAATGGTTTCTCCATAACTACGCTAGAGTCTTCCAGAATTCAAAGTAAAAAAATATTAAACCAGTAATTTGCAAGGTAGTACATTATACATATTTCAGACGTTCTAATGGTCATCTCTTTCTGTGGCCCTTTTCTTGTCATAATTTTTTTTAATCAAAGTAGGAAGACTATTCTCCCTCTAACATTTTCTCTTAGGTTAAAGACGAGAATATTTAATTGACAAGATATAAAATTAAATGTTTTAGGAATTGGCTGTTGAAGATTCAGAAAGAATCATGCAGATATTTTTAAAGTTTGAATACATCTACTATTTTCCAGACATAAAATATAGAGAACATAAAATATTCTCTAACTCAGGTATCAAATTATGTCGCACATGATACAGAAAGCAAAGAAAATACTTTCTTCTTTTGGATCTTTCGCATAATGACATTGTTTCATGGCCGTTATTTGGTACTACTCTGTATTGAACAAATAAATAAAATTAGTAATTACAAAACTTAAAAAGAACCGAAGTCTGCCTGTGATAATCCATATTCTTTTAATTTACAGAGCCAAGCTATCTACAGCATTCAAATTTTGAGAGTAATTTAAATATTCTTACGATTATCGATAATCTAAATATCATAGTCTCCTCCACTGTTACAATTCATCTTTTAGAGATAACACAAAATATCTGCCACAAAAGCGAACTTATTTTACAGACTATAGCTTTTAAATCATTTGTAACACTACTTAATTTTAAAAGTATAACTTGATTATATTCACGAAATAATACAAACTTCAGCTTGCAATAAATTAGTTAAAATATATTTAGATGAAGGAAAATCTTACTTCAAATTCCACCATCATCTTCTTTTCTTCAGGGTTAAGCTAAAACGAAAAATTGACAATTATTTTATGCAATTATTTGTTTACATTTATATTGATCATCATCACTTCATACTTTTAGTACTCTTTGATTCTAGTGAATGTACTAAGCAAAATTTCTTAAACTGACAGGCGTGTAATGAACGTTATATCAAAGTTATTCATCCCAAAGCTTCATTACTCAGTCATCTGAACTATTTAGGTAAATAATGTCTAAACTAATAAATTATTGCTGCGAGCACGTAAGTTTCTTTTGTTACTTATACTTTCACTGTATTGAGGAAAATCGGTTTAGCTACATAGTACTTTGAATGCTATTGGTCAGCTGTAGCATTGCTGTTGTATAGTTAGTTTCCTTTCAGCCGAAGCAAGAACAAACTATTTTCAATAAAAATCTAATAATTATGCCTCTAGAAAGAACGTTTTATTATTAACCAAAGTATGCCCTTTAAAAGAGATATCGTATATAATTAGTTAAATTATGTATACTCTTTAAGCAGAATATTTTCCACATAGTTAAAGAATTCTTTGATATCTCAGTATATTTAATGAAACGAGCTCGGAACCGGAAGTTATTTTTTCTTTTGTTAGATCAGTGGTTCCCAATCGGGGGTGGTCTCACGCCTTGGGGAGGTGGGATAATATTTTCTTTCTTTAAACAAATTGAATAATTGTTTAATAATTACTTGAAATGCAGTTTCAGAGCCATACTTTGAAACAATATTGGTTTTCGACTATGTGTATATTCCCAAAACTCATTCCCTTTACGATGACATACTTACGCGATTCTAGATTTAGTGCCCTTTTGTCAACCAAAATAAAATTTGGAATTCAATTGGGTGCACAAGCAGATTAGCCAATTGATATCAGCACCAATTTCCGTTTGAAAAGATTTATGCAAAGGTACATTTTTGTAATATTTTCTTATTTCTAAGTTTTATTTTTATATCATTAAAACTTAATTATGCAAATTTTATTTTTTTAAGGAACTGCTTTTGGATTTTTTCTTTGGTAGATACACGGAACATGCGAAACTTTGGGAACCTACGTGTTAGATAATTAGCACGTAAAAATCACAGTCCCTTGAAAAAGAACAGTCCTTTGTTAAGAACAATAAAATTAAATCGAAAGTCTTGAAAATGCATTTTGATTATAGAACTAACACTCGAGGTTAACACTATTCAGAAAATTTGAGTAGTAATAGATTTTATTCTGAATCATTCTTGAAACGTTCTTTCATATTTTGAATTGGTTATTAAACCTTAAATATTATTCCTCAGGATCTTCAGATCATTTGCTGAGTAAAACAGCTATATATAGAGCTTTATATAGATATATTCATTCGGACAGTTGCATTAAAAGTTTCATGCATAGGTTAATTTTCATGAGCATACGAAACCCGAAGTGTTTCATTTTCTTTTTTGAATAGTAATGAGAAATATTTTTTTCATTTATTTACTAAGAATTTGTTACCAAATCTATGTTGGCAAAATCATCTTTTTTTATGTAAGGTAACGTTACCGAACAAAAAGGAAAAGAAAATAGAGATATTTTATGTGAAAAAAAAACTGTCAAGGGTATTGCAGTTAAGTTATCGAAATCCTTCAATTTGTGTTACAATTAGCATAAAAATGAATTTTAAAAGTTTACCTTCGAGATTGTTTAACGGATTTTTCTCCTCACACTTAAGCCAATAGAAACTTTACAATACATATCAACAAATATATACCAGATTTTAAGCATGCATAGTCCTTCACTCGAACACTTTTAACTCGAAGCTCGAATTTTGAATTTCGAACTAGTGTTTATTTCATATTTTTCGCGAACGTGATGAAAGTTTGATTAGAAACTCAGCGATTTAAAAGCAATACATTACCACTACTAAGCTTATTTACTAAGCTTAAGATACTTGTGTTTCAAATTTAATTAGAAAAGTCAACGGTTTAAAAATATGTCGTTTTAGGCAAAGCTTTAGTTACTTGTCTTTCGTACTTGATAAGATCTGTCAACAGTCATAAAGATTTTAAAGAAATTTGTTCAAAATTTCGAAAGCTCAAAGTTCAAAATTTCAGCGCTCGAAATATTGTTTCCTTCCTACTCGCCAGCGACTTGCCATTTGGCAAAGCGTAAGATACTTAAATTCTTCTTTCAAATTTATCTGTCTGTTACTGATTAAGAAACTATTTTAAGGCAACTGAAGTTTTCATCTTTATTATTATTATTTACTAACTAGACTCGTGAACGGCACTGGCTGGAGACATTAGAAGTACTATATAGTTATTTTTTCCTTTTTTATAATAATTATTTGAGAGGACTGGTAGCGAAAGCGGTTGGGATCTATAAATAATCAAGATTAATCAGTATTACACTACGCATTCAAACAAGCAAAAAAGGCTGTAATCACATTTGAGATAAACAGCTGCTCAAGGTATCATGAAGATTGTTGAAACAGAATAAATTTCAGAAGACACCAGTCCGGTGTAGGCATACAAAATTTACTTTTAAATTGGTCTTAGCATTATCTTTTGATAAAGAATAAATAAAAAGATCTTTCGAATAATTTTTTCAAGTCCAGTTTAATCAGCATTATTTTATTTTATTATGAATTTGAGCTAAGATCCATTATGGTTTCCTAAATGATCCTTAATTTACGTGAATTTCTTAAATCGCCAATAATCGAAAAATTACTTACCATATGTGTGTTTTCAACAACGCATTCAAATATCTAGAAGAAAATACAAAATAATAATAGTTAACAGAAAATGTCTCAATATTTATCAATTAATACAATTGGTATTCATATGGTTAAATACAAATATAATAATGCATGTAATTCATAATATTGCAAAATTACATTCATTACATTCAGTCTTATCCGGGTAAGGTTATCTCATTTCTAAGAAAGTGACCATTAGTTATCAAAACTAAATTTTATCTGTATTTTGCTCAGTTTTGATCTTGAAAAATATAAATCAAAGCTGAAAGATTTAAGATCTAATCATTCTGGAGAGCTGACGTAACAGTCTCGTAACAGTCTGACATGAGTTTATGACTTGCTCTTTGTTTAAATAGCTGTGCTCGTCTCTATATCTATTGCAGTCACTACAAATTTCTAAAAATATTTTACTCTGTATAAATGTAAAAGGTTTTATGTACAAGTAATTTAAGACATCTTATAACCTTTCAATAATTGAAGTATCTTATTGCTGTTTTTTTTTTAAATTTATTAATTAAAACTGCATTTTACTGAATGTAATAGATTTTTTTGAACAGGTTTTACATTGAATCAAGAATACCTAAAGAATTAAAGTATAGGATGAAATAAAACATTCCACACGAATACAGTACAAGATGCACGATTAAATTACCTTAACTGGAATTTCAGGAGTGGTGAAAAGTGGTTCATAATGGTTGCAACGTTTGATACCACCCATTATGCACTTCTTCTGGCACATTTCGAGAGCAAGCAAAATCTGAAAAAAGTATTATTTTTATTTAAAGTTCATTTAAATTCCAAATGTTCTGTAATAATATTATGATGTCCTTTAGCACAAAAAGGGCTTTATTGTAGGATTTGTTGTCAAAATGCACAAACCTGTTCTTCAGTGGTTAATTTAGTCAACCAAATCTTATCAAAGTCAAGTTCTCTACAGCTCTATTCTGAATTTAGATTAATATTTATTATACGAAAATTCCAATAACTATGTAATAAACTGTTAATAAAAGGTAAAAATTATAAAAAAAGCCTTCTGTTTTTGGTACACGTAAACTTGTAAGTAAATTTGCTTACGATATGTAAGTGAACTTGGATTTGGTATATTATGACGAAACGTATGAGAGCTATCTGCTGAAGGATAAGGGTAACATTCGTGTAGCGCTTACTAAGGAAAACTTGCTCGTATTCAGGTTATGTATAGGTGCACGAGCACGCCTATGCAGTGAGGGTGAGATTTGAGCCTGTGGCATATTAGCGCAGTTCAACGGTCTTATCTACTCGACCTCTTGTGGGCCTAAATATTCATAGAATATGACGTTTATATTCTTTTTATCGCAATCATTTAGATTGGATTATGCCCTAAGATGAAAGATGCCTTCGTAGAAGTTTTTTTTAAGGAAGACCGAGAAGTATGCACTTAACACACGGCAAAACCATGAAACTTCCAATGCAGCCAATCCGTTTGGAAGGTATTTTATATTAAGTAACAAATTATTGTGAGTTAAACCGTTACTATAACTTCTCCTTTCCTGGTCCTCACCCATAATGTAAATTAGCTGCGTGTATTTTTAAGCTGAGAGTTCTGAATACTTAGGTTAGAGCTTCTTGCAGTAAATTCTTGCTATTATTTACTATCACCAGATCTACATAAGCTGTATTCCAGCCTTAGCATCTCGCTAATCGAAGATTACGAAGATTACGCGCAATTAACTATCTAGGCCAGATTACGTAGCCCATTTTATTAGTCTCAAACTGCGTTATCTACATTTAAAATTTAACTTTATGTTAACTTTATTTTAAATACCTGCAAATCTTTTGGTTTGTCTATCGTGCAAGCTGTGCCTGTTCATTTAAATAAAAAATATTATTTATAAGTGATAACTCGCGATCAGTAAATGAGGGAGGTTCTATAAGACTTTGACACAAGCTTCTAGGTACAATAGAATCCCACACGTTCAGCGAGATATGAACGCAACCCGAACTGCTAGTGTTCAGCGGTTGCATCAGCAACCCCTGAACAGGGCCTTATCATCCTGGGCAAAATGTTTATAGGGCATCAGAAATAACGCAGAGTTTCTTTGTTGATGCCACAGCATAACTCTAAACTTATTTAGAACTTAGTGTCGGATTATTAGTTGACTTATATATAATACTTAAACTCATACAATTTACCTCATATTAGGTTATGTTAAGTTATCTGAACAAGAAAATGTACACGAGGGCTATCGACTTAAAGAAACTGTTACCTTCGTGGAGGATTTTTCTATGTCAAATTCGCTCGTATTCATTTTAAATAAGAGGAAACCATGAAAAGCATATATCAAGCAAACACAGGTCCTGAACTCCGAATATTCAGCTTCCTTAATCGCCCCTCGGTCACTTTAACTTCAAATTAATGTGAAATACAGAAGTCAGTTTGGCTTATCTTCTGCTTTACGTAATAAATATTTTACATATTTTTATTCTGTTCCTGCATTGAAATATTATATTCAGACATTATTTTTATGTCTCAAAATTATTTATTCACTTAACTTTACAATTAATGTCAGATTTTTTAAGATATAATTTTTAGTTATTTTTTATTTTAAAATATCTGAATTTTTAAAAATGCATTCAATTATATGAAATTATTATAAAGTGCATTACGTTAAAATTATTACAAAAGGAATAAATTAAAATTATTTCAAAAATTAAATGCTTCTGTTTTGGCATTTACAGTACATGCAACAGATGATAAGAAAAGCAAAAGGTCTTTAACACGAATAAAAAAAAAAATCTTAATTTAAATTTCCTGTGAGCCTGTTTGTTATACGAAAAACATTTCAGTTTAAATTATCCTGGTTAAATAAATCACACTCTTGCAGTGTCTATTTGATTTTAATTGCTGATTTTAATTTTAATTTGATTTTAATTTACCGAATCAACTCCTTACGGTGTGTTATTTAATAAATTTCTCTGAGCTTATGCATTCCATTAGTACTCTGGAAAAGCTATCTAAGGCCGAAGAAATAGTATTTAACAAGACATGTTTTTATGTACTCACGGTTATAAATATTTTTCCCTAGATCTTTTATATGACAAAGGCATTTCTTATCGTATGTGAGCTGGTGTAAAGATTAACTCCACCGAGAGCGGAAAGCAAATATGTTATAAAAAAATGTTACATTCCTTACAGTAAATACACTATACTAAGAGCTGTTTTTAACAGATTTGATGTTGAAACGACAAGTCATTTTAAAAAGGTAAGCGATTCAATTTATATTGCCTAGATTTTTCTTCTTGTTTGAATAGAAGAATGAAAGAAATTTTCCACTCAGAAGAATAAATAGTTGCTCAGGAAGAAAAAAAATTATATTTACAAATATTAAAGAAAAACATATAGTGCAAGAAGCCCTATTCCCATAATTTCACATCAGGCATTTCTATTTAAAAAAATTTTTAAATCATGAATTGTAGATTTTAAACACTAAGAAGAAATTTTGCTGTATAATGTTTGTTAATTTCATAATTTTTGGGGGAAAATGAGATTTTACATTATGTTTTAACTGTTTCCTTTAAGGAGTAGGTCTGTATTCTGAATTTTTTGCACTTTCAATTCATTTATAGTGATGTGTTACATTACGGTTACACTTTGAAGAGATGATTATTGCAAGCAGGTTTGTATCCTGGCAAAATAAAAAAGTTCACCTTTTGGGAGGTATTTATTACAGAGTTTCGTGCTTAAATGATTCAGTGAAATAAATGCTCAGTTACGTCTTGATTAATTTTGTCTTTTCTTTAATAAACAAGGGGCAAAATAGCAGGTAGAATTAACTACGAAATAATGTTATAAGAACTTTTTTCTACATATTTTAAACATGAGATTTTGACTTCTGTACCTTTAACTTCTCTGAGACTAACTCTTAAACTCAAAGATCTATCCTTACTACTCAACTTAAAAGTGTTTCTAGTGAATAACTGAAACCTAAATTTCAGCATCAGGTTACAATTATTTTTATTCTTATAATTTTAGCATTTTAGAAACCGTTTTAAAATTTTAATGACGAATTATTCAGGTTATAGTATGCCATATTAATAATTTGTCATAAAATAGTTGATAGTGGTTATTATTAAAAAAATTGCTGATTTTAAATATTTTTCCTTTTTCTTACCATTGTTAAAACTATGAAAAAAATTGAAACCACAAAAGCTTCAGATAAGAGTCATATATTAATTCAATTTGTTTTGCTTATTTTAAAGAAGAAAACTAATATTAATAAGAATTTTCTTCACAGCATATGCTCTGTATTTTTGCTGATTACAGTTTCCTCAGACACTTAATGTCAGAATCTGCAATGTTTCGGAAAATATGTAATCTATATAGTTATTATTGTTTCATTTCAGGCAAGAGAAAAATTTTGTGTACTTTAATTTTTATTGCATTTTTTATGTCGGCGCATAAATTTCATTCCATACATTTTATAATATTTCATACAAAATAAAACAATAAAATTATTTCTAAAAATTCTATTACTTTAATTAGAATTATTAATTATATGTACTACGGAAATGAAAAAGCACTCTTATTTCTGAGTAAAACGAATTAATTACTGAACTTCGCTTTGACTATACATTAAAAGATGCATTCTGTAAAATGTTAAAAAAAAAAGAAAAGAAATTACCTGCTTGGGCATCATTTTTTCACACATAACAAATTTTTCGCACAAAACTGGATCTTTGGCTGAAACGAAAAAAAAGGAAAAAGAAGTTATATGCTATATTATACTTGGAAAGCGTACTTGGATAAAAATTAAAACTAAGTCTAAAAATCGTTTTAAGGAAATCGTCAATGATTCTTTGAAATATAAGGGAAATTGTGATTGAGCAAAGCTATAAATTATAATCTGATTTGTTTTTACATGTCTATATTAAAGTACTAACGAACTCACCAAGTTAAATATTATCATTTACTATATATGCATCTCAATTAAATTTTCTCTGTATGTTGATCAAATCACTGCATTATCTTAATACTCGTATATGTAAGCTTTTTTCAAATTTCTAGAATTTATTTTACATTGTGATATTAAAAATTCATCAATAGTTTTAGCGTTAAGCTTTTTTATATGCCTTTAACTTAGTTCAGAGAGAAACGAAATATCGCTACTAAGCATATAACCAATTAAATCCTGTACATAGTTAGGGAATTATAAAGCTTTCCGTAAAAAAGTAATAGAATATAGTTTTAAACCTGATGAATAATATTAATAGACTTCGTAGTTTAATTAGTATTCATGATAGTAACATATGCAACATTATTTCAAAATAATGAAATATTAGTAGTATTTCGGTAGTATACTACGTAACATTTTTGTCATCCTTTATTGAATAATATATTTGCAGAATTTTAATTTATTTTGCTTTTTATACTTTATTGAAACTGCCAAGGAAAATGTATCACACAGTCTTCTAAGCTAAATCGACGTAGTATAGCTCTGCAGTTTCATTTGCATTTTATTAAAAATTCTCAATTTAGAAATTTATACATTTAATTTAATGTATTTACAGTTTAGCAAGATCTGCTACTTTTCTAAATGATCGAAAATGGTTTTGATTTTATGTAATATATAATAATACTACGAAGAATGAACTCAAAGTTTACATAAAACTTTTAATTCTGAGCATTCTTTTGCATTTTATAAGAAATTTTGTTTTGTTTAATCTTTCACGGTATCTTTATGTATTAAAATGTCAAAGATAATCCTCCATGCAGAGCTTAATATTCGCATTTGACATACCAATTTTACAATGTTAGAAGAATGTTTAGGCCTCTGAATTTTCCTATAGGTTATGATTTTATTGCACTTTGTTCCAAAGTTAATTAAATAACAGAAATGTAAACATTCCGATTCCGCCCACAGAGAACTTTTATTCAATGGGTTGATTCAATAGAAATGCGATTGGAACTGAAATCTAAAGAGGAATCGGAGCTACGGAAGCCAAATTACAGGTAAATCCAAACAAACTAATAAATGCAGTTAAAAATTAAACAAACTTTATCAAAAACATGAAATAGTTTAAATTTATAATGCAAAGATGATGCGTTTTAATGTTTTTTATTGAATAAATGAAGACGAAGGCTACTGATATTTAAATTTTGCCTTTTAGTCCAAACGGGCTATTAGTGTCGAAAAGCGATTTCGCGTGACCCACAGTAAATGCCTTGTTTCACTGTTCCTTCTGGTCTCCTGCCATTCAGAAAAATGTTAAGCTATTATTCTTTCATATTTAATCGGTCTGCTACTAATAAACTAACTAAAGTATTTAAAAGCAATATATGCAATTCTTAAAAATACTACTTTTTACTTTTTAATTTGAGTGATTTAAATAAAAATGCATTTAATTCATGATATATTTAATTAAAAATATTAAATACTTTTATAGAATTACATTACATATTTTTTTTCCATTTTTAATGCACAGAAGATATATATAACGTTCCCATGCTAATCTAAATGCATATTCTTTCTTACATACTCGTTATCCACCACGGCCATCTCCGCTGATAAATCATGTTAAATTTCAAATGAGCCCTATTGGGTGAACTTCAAATCTGAATCAAATCTGAACAAAATCTGAATCTTTTATGATTTTATTTTTTTAAATTTTATTTTGCAGTTGAAATTAATTATCATAACTTGAGTTTTTAATTAAGTTAAAAATTTTTATTAAACAAAAATGATTCGTGAAATACGTTTAGTTGTTCACGGAGGATTCAAGACTAAAATTTTTATTTATCCAAGACTTAAATTTTGAAACTCCAACTATCCCAACTAACCAATATCAAAGCCCATTCAGATAAGCGGGAAATTATTGGGTTGCCTTTTTCTTGTAGGTCAGTGCCGCTTGTAATGCGCAAAGGATTTTTTTATTCTTTGGTTTATTTTGCTAGTTAAATAAATATTCCAGAGCTCAGAATGTGTTCTATCTCAGAACGTCTTCTCAGAACGTCGTCGAACGTTTAGTCTGCTCTTAATGAAAACAAGGAAAACAAAGTTTTTGTTATTTGCATGAACTGATTCATGGAATAAGCTTTTACAGAAACTAAATGTTTTCTATTATCCATTATAAACTACATAATTGCCAAATGATTTTTCTTAAAATGTTATTGATATGTGATAACACGTTAATAAATTAAATGAGAAAAATAAATACGAAACGCGTTTTTACTAACAAAACATTACATACTAATTTGCAGAAAATATCCACAAAATGTTTCCTTATTTTAGAAAGCATTTTTTCTGATTTAACTGATTTTAATATTTTATAATATTTTACCAAAGTAAGTTCTTTTATGATATCCCTTAAAAGATTTAACTTACATTTAGAAATGCAGTCCACAATTTTCATCAATTCAGCTTTTCTCATAGTAACCAGATGAGTATGCTCTACGTGATCGGCATAAGTAGTGCTTGAAAAAGCAATACTTGCGAAGAGTATGAGAACATAGAAATTCATTTTCTTTTCGAGTATTAACAAAGAAGCTTTTACTTTAACGTTTGTAGCAAAGCTGACTGACCAGGTACAAATCCAACTCCTATTTATACTTAAAAGCATAATTCAAATAAAATCGTTAGGCAAATTCCAAAAGTTTCATAATTATTTTTAAATGTAAATTCCTTTTGTTTTATTATTTTCAACCTTGAGTTTAACTATAACTGGAGGGAAACAAACAAGGTTGATCATTTTGATTACACTCGTCAAAATTCTTCTCTACTTTTATGGTCGATTGAACGTAGTTAATGGAAATGCTGTGCAACAAATAGAAAGTGAAGTGTAATTTTTTCAATGGAGAAAGAAGAAAACGTGCTTATACATTTTCATTGAATAGATAATATTTATTTGTTTGTGAAAAATACTAAATAACAATAAACAGAAATGAATCAAAAATGAATCATTTGAAGACTCATATAGATAACATTTCAGCTATTCGCAGAAAACTTGATGAAATGCTATGCATTGTTTCTAAGTTAATGAGGCGTTGATTTTATAGTATATTTCGTTACAGAAGTTTCAGGAATTTATTAATGACACAGGTGTAATAATATTCCTACAGGACTTTATGATTTTATAATTTTTCCTCGGAGTTATAACTCAAGTAGACTTGTCTAATATTGGCACCATGTTAAGTTAAGACTTTAGAATCTCCATTGCTTAGCTCAGAAAATAAATCTAGTCATATTTATAGATGATTATGTAGTCTTTATCAAAATTAATTTCTTCCGTAAGATGTGTGCTCAAATAGTGATCCTATATATTGAGCTTTTAATTACAAAATTTCATAAGATATGGTGCACATTTTTTGAAAAAGCTTATAAGGAATTATCTCATTCTTTTGTCCTATAAATAGCTAGCGCATCCAACTGATAGTTATAAGATCCGTGGTTCCGATCTCGTCGTGGACATATTTGAGTTTTCACACTTTTTCCTTTAAAAAATCCTAATGTTATTACAATGACTTTCAACCTAAAAAAATAGACGATAATAAATTTGTTAATTATTTAATGATAATAAATTGTCGAATGAGTCTCGAGTCTCTCTCCAGACGTGGGATAAATGGGAAGAATATAATGAATTACAATACCCCCGTATATTCTGTTATAGTGTAACTAGGTGGCACGTTCGTTTTGTTCAGTTAGGTTAGGTTATTTAATTACGGCAAAGCCTCGAGGGCTATCTGCCTAAGGGAAGGGATGCCTTCGTGGAGGACTTTCTAAGAGAAACTGGTTCGTATATACGTTTCACATGGGAAAACCACGAAAACACCCAAGCAGCCAGCCGGTTCGCGGGATTCGAACCTCTTACCGAACTGCCAGCATTCCACGACTTTACCGCTCGGCCGCAGGTGGGCTGCACTTTCGTTTTGCAAACTGAAAGATCCGTGTAGTAATAAAATGAATCTATAGAAATATCACCAGTCAGATCAGGAGGAACTGGTAGATTATATGATCCACTTAGAGAAAAATAGTTGTGAAATATTTATTTAGCTTTCATAAGTTAGACATAAAACATTTCTATACTTTTACCTGAAAAATTCTTGGAGATATTAGAGAATGAATTTACTGAATTACGTTACTTTTGCAGCCTGTAATTAAGAGATTTCGACCAGAATGTGGTATGATATTCAGGGAAATTATAAATTATTATTGCACATTGAAATGACGTATGGTTCTGCGTTGGATAAAAGAGTATTTCTCCATAATGTGGTAAATAGTCGCACGACTCTATTAATTACTAACATTTCCGCCACTATAATCGATAACGTAATTGATTAAACGTTTAGTGTTCTGTCTGCTGTTTCACTGGGAGAGAGTTCGAATCACAAAGAAGGTATTTATGTTTATAAGTATGTAGATCCATTGTGGCTGAAAGTAGTGGCAAAGTGGTCATACATAGCGAGCCAAAAATCCTCTCCAGTGGCTTGGGGATGGGAGAAGTGGGTTTAAAATCCTTCGACCCGTCCCCCAGTGGATTCTCTTTCAAAATTGGAAAAGAAATGAGCAAAATTGTCCTGTCATCTGTAAGGTGCTTAAATCCCACACCAAACCTCCCCCCCCCTCATACCATGACACAGATCAAAATAAAATCCACGGATTTGTTCTGATGTTTCTGTCATATGTAAATAAGAAATGTTACAACAACGCATTTAGTATATCTTCGCGAATGAGCAAAACCAGAGAGAAGTTTCCTGTGGTAAGTAAGAGAGGATCACTGAAGGTCCAAAAATAAAAATAAATAAAGAATGAAATGCTTGATGCCATGCCAAGCCCGAAATCAAGAAAAAATCGAGAAGCATTGGCTAATACCCGAAATAGCCGACAATTTGCAAACTGGCCAACTTCGGGCTTTGGCCGTAAAAATTGACTCAAAATAAACTGTTTCTAAATGACAAATTTATTCAATATTGCAGTAACAGTAACATTTTCTTTTATTTTGTTGAACAGTTTTAATTTATTTATATATTTTATTTCCTTTCATTAAATTTTTGTTTGTTTATTAATCACCTCAGACTCTTCGACCTCATTTTTACTTTCCCTTCACGAATTTCTGTTTTGGACACATATAAACTATGACTACTCGACAGAAATAGTTATTTTAAGCCACATGCTCAAATGATGTAATAAAATAAATTCTCAGCTAATTCTTTATTAATAATTGTTTTTTTCATTAAATAAGTACACAAATATGCATGCGATTTGATGTCATATTATGTGAAATATTTCTCCGTAATTTGACTTTGCTGTCGTCTTATACCAGGGGCGGCCAAAGTGCGGCTTGCGAGCCTGATACGGCTCTTGCAGGCAATTTGTGCGGCTCATGCATATAAAATAGATGCATGAAATATGGTAAACTAAAACTATTCGGTGTCCAAAAGGAAGTAAATAATTAGTTTAGACTCCTTTTACAAAATATCAGAGATTTCATTCTATTTAAAACCTCCTCCACTACTTCTATAATGATGTAAATATGAGCTTGTGGCTTTTAGAAAATCTGGATGCAGCTCTCGAACATTCCTGAATTCAACAGTGCGGCTCTTACTGACATGAAGTTTGGCCAACTCTGTCTTATACTCTTTATAAATATAAAAATTTGCATTCCATGTATTTTATTTCGGGAGTAGTAATTTTCGTTTATTGTATTATGGTAAAGCACACGAGGTCTAGCAGCCTAATGATTGGAGGACTAATTCTTAAATTAATAGGCTTATCATAACAGCTTCATTGAAAATTGTTTTCAGAGTTAAATTGAAACCTCTGTACTCAAAATCCGGATTCCAATTTCTTTTTATTTAATAATTCTCATACTTCTTAACTTTAAAAATATACCTCTTTTGATTCCAACTATTATTTTCAAAACGTCAAACTATAATCTGAAATTTTCATATATTATTATTTTTTTATTTTTTATGTTTGAGTTTTAGATTAATATACAATAGAATACCTTTTAACCGGCATCACGGGTAACTCGCCGACTCTGAGCAAGGGATTTTACCGGATAATTGAATATATTTATATAACTGACTTGTTCATGTGTTATGATGCTATCTATAGATGTTTCAGCATTCGGCCACTTTAACAATATCCATAAATAAAATCTGAAAGTTTTCTAAAAGCTTTTACATTACGCCCAAAAAGGTGTTTTTTAACGTTTTGCGTGTTACCTTTATTTAATAAATTTCATGTCCTTCGCACTTAAAGCACATAAAATTCAATATTGTTGTTACTTATCGCACTTGTCTGACTTAGGAGCTCTAGATTACGCCTGCCGTTGGCAACAGCCTTGAGCACCATGCAGATGACATTGCGATTTAGCTCAGTTCTGCCCCCAATTTTGATGGAGAGCACCCGGGGGGAACGGGTTGGAGGGTCTCCTACCCTTCCCCCCTTCTACCAAACCACACGAGAGGACTTTTGGTTCGCCGCATATTTAGAGTGCCGCCGTTCAGCATCGACACTATACATTTACAAACATCCATGCCTTCTCCAGGATTCGAACTCGGGCCCTACGGCACGGCAGCCAGCGACGCTAACCACTATACCAGTTGGGCGGCTTAAAATTCAATTCCACAGCAATATCACAAAATACTTAAAGACAGCATATCTTTAGAATTTCCGATAGACAGTCTCGCATGCTGGAGATAGAATGCTTTCTTTCGTACAGTGTTGCCACTGCTCACTTTGAAATCGTTGAGATTGTTGATAAAAAATTCGTTTAAGTTTCAGAAAACTTCAAACAGATAATAAAGCAAATTCGAAATTCAAAATTCGGGCTTCCAAGCGCCCACGTTTGATTGGAGGACTATGTTATTCAAAATTAGATGACCGCTGTTTCTTCACAATGCAAGAAACATTCTTGCATTCATGCAGATTCTTCATTATTTAGTTTCTTTATATATAAAGCGTGGCGATAATATTTGGTGGCAACAGTTTGAAAATTGTATCGACGCAAAATGCATTTTGAATTTAATAGGCTTCTGAGCTAACGCCCTGTGAGCTAAAAATTGTACGGAATTTTTTTAATTAAAACACAAAAGCATAATATTATATTGCAGAAAAAAAATTAAATGACATATAAGTTACCGCTTTCCCAGCACATATGCCATTATTTCGTCGTCATCTTGAGCGAGTGAGACGGAAACAGAATTGCCTACCTCCAGGAAACCTGCTTCTCTTCTTCACTAATGCTAACTTTTCCTAACATGTCAACAAATCCAAGATGTCTGCCACGGGCACCTCAAGAAACTTGTTGTTGCCCACGAAATTCATCGTAGCAAGGAGAGCGAAATTGTGCCTGTAGTTGGCAAACGTCATACAGATCATAGTACTACTTCGCTCCTTTCCGAGCCCAATACTGAAGGAGATCACCCGGGGTACGGGTCCAAGGGTTTCCCACCACTCTTTCCTTAGCACATAATTCTCAAGAGGACTTCTGTTCGCCACATATTTAGAATGCCCTCATGCCGCACAGACACTTTACATTTACAAACATCCGTGGCTTCTCCGGTGTTC